TATGAACTGTCCATGAGTGTTCAAACATCCCATAATACACTAATGTCATGATGGGGATGGGAGTGATGTGATAAACTCTTTAAGACCTGGCCAGAGTTCTCGCCCTTTAGCAGATGGCTGTATTATGCCACAGTAATCACAGAGCATGATATCGCAGGCTTGGAGGATAGGCAAATGAAATCATCCCCAAAAAAGAGCTAGCATTACACCTGCACAGAGCACATGAAAGAGCAAGTTACTTGCTTTGATATCTTTGCATTACATACTGCGAGTCAAGATGGAGCGCTGCCTTTAACGCTCAACTTTATCATTGCATTCAGGTTTCATTATTTCAATTAAACTAAACTAAAAGTTAAAGCTTTCAAAAATTATAACAACAAAAAAATTAAACTAAAATTAAATCATCTGCTTGCTTAATCTATCTTCTCTCCTTTGGAATGGTCATGTAGAAAACATAGCAGCAAAGGAAGAAACTTAGCTTTTATGATGCATATAACCTTGCTTTTCTCATGCTTAGCACACTCGCAACATATTACACGGCAGCTGTTATTACATGAAAAAAGGCAAAGAAAGTGCTTTGTAGGACTCTGAGGCTAAGTATGTAGCAGACAGAGAAGGGCTGAAAGCAGAAAACTATATGCTCAAGTTATCTATCAAGCATAACTGAGAACTGAGGCAGTACCATCTAATGCTGGGAAACCATGAAATACAACTTGGAAAAACTCCTGCTCAGGCTTTCTGTTGAGACAGGAGTACCAAGGGACACAGTCTGGGTTCAGGTTGTAGTTTGTGCTACCCTAAATTCATTTTGGCTTCACAAACATTTGAAAGCATCAACTCTGGGCCACTCAGGACAACCTCCACAGACACAATGAGACTGAATGGCATATATGAGCACAAGCTTTACTGCATTCTAATACTCCTTTCTCTGAACGAGTAACCTTTCTCTTCAGAAGTCAAGACAATCAGACAATCAGTGACGTATTTAAAACTTGGGCACTATCTCAAGCACCCAAGCACATGATGGCAATGTTCAGCTATGTAATGGTGCCATCTCGTGGTAATAACCAAGATGATGCTACATCGACTCAACACATACTTCAGCAGTATGCTGCGGCCACTGAAACCATTAAAAACATATTGAAAAATAAACAATACCAAGGAATTGAGAGGTGTAAGTTTTACAGTGCAAGTTGACCATTAAGACTGAAAATCAGCAATTCTGCACTCAAAAGCATGAAGGAATCCTGTGACGATTTATAACCACAGGCTTCAGCAGCAGAGAAATGCTAACACACAATAGTCAGCGAGATCATAAATGGACCGCTGGTCTTTGATGATGTCCAGGCTTCTAAGAGAAGCCAAGAGAATGGCCATGAGAATGATTCAAGGTCAAGAAAATCTGCCTCACAAGAACAGACCCAAAGAAATTCAGTATTGTTCACTGAAGGCATGATTGGGTCATAAGATGTCTATCGCCTCACAGAAAGAATCCTGACAGTACCAGAGCTGTAACTCAGCACTAAACAGAAGAGAAAAATCCATCACTGCAGACTATAATAAAATGAATTCAGAAAAGAAAATCAGGTGCACTTATAAACGAGATGAAACTTTAGAACAGTTTGCCCAAGAATGTGGCAAACTTCCCACTGCCCTACATCTGAAAATCTAAACTGTCAAATCAAAATTATCTTTCTAAAAAATGAGTTGTTTCCATCAAAAGTAATGATTTTTGATACAGGAACCACGCATGAAACTGTCTGGCTTATATTATGTAAAACATCACAATACATGAGCATAATGAAATTTCTAGTCTTAAAACCCATACAATTCCTTTTTTTTTTGAGAGTGATTCAAATAAAGTATTTAGTTGGCACAAACAATCCTAATTCACTGCTAACACTACTGATGTCTAACATCTTATTGTAGGCCAGACTAAAGTATCTATGGCTCATAAGAATGATAAGCACGAATTCCATTTCAGCAGCTCTGCTATCTCTCGCTCTCTCAATCTCTCCCTCTTTCACACACACACACGCTTACCTCCTTGTTTCCTAAGCAGGAATGCCACGGTGTCAAGCCACGAGCACCAGAGCGTAGATCCAGAGAGAAATAAATTCAAAGGTTTTGAAAACCTAAGTCCAGAAGTCGGACTAGTCATTCTTTTGCCAACTTTTCAAGCACTCTGAAACCATCCTATTCTATCTCCAGAATTTTCACTGTGAGAAAAAGATGAAGTTTGTGTTGTTTTTTCTAATTTACTCTATTAATACATTAAAGATGTAAGATCTGTTCCTGCTTCAGCTTCAGACTTTTCTAGGGTTGATGTGATCTCACTAAGAAGTGCTTCAGACTGCCACGGAAAAGCTGCAGGTCCAAGCAGCTAAATGAATCAGATACCTTAAAGTGCTAATATGAGAAAAACAAAACAAAACAAAACAAAATCAGTACTCAGACAGACCAATTGTCCTGTAAGTCAGTAATCCTGAAAGAATAGGGAGCATGTCATCCTGCAGCCTGCAGCACAGGAGTTTAGTACTGCTAAACAGGACCTCAGCACTCATGGCTCTGGTTCTTTACTGCATATGAGCGTGTGACACACTGCAATGAGCGTGTGTCCGTCTTCCCTGATTCTACTGTTTCTACTTGGTGTGTTTCATTTGCAAGAAGAGGCAGATGAACTGAATGCACAACATCCCTAATTGCCACAAGTTTTGATTAGAAGGATGACATGACCATCAATTATCTCTTGCTGTGGAAAAGGAGTGGAGAGTTCCAGCTCGGAGCTCTCTTTGATTAGGAAGTATCCAGCCATCTGCCAATACTCGCTGAGCGACTGCACCTTTGCGTACTGCTGTGATATACCCGGTTGCCATGATGACCATTTCTGATGGAAACGCTACTTGGAAAATAAAAAGCTGGAGAATATCAAGGGAAGAGAATTCTTACAGAGGAAAGCAGTGACTTTTCTTTGAGAATAGCCAGTAAAATGGCTGTTGAAGTGGCCAGCGGATCCCTAGGTACTAGGGACATGAATGGAAATTCCATTCGGGGATACTGAAAAAGTGCTGTTTTCTCCTCTGACTCAAACTGTCCCTAGACACAGGATTAATTTAATCAAATTAGACCTTTGCCCATTCCACACCTAGTACCTCGTCCATCTTATTTACTCTAATACACATTCAAATGAAATTTGCTGGGTCCTTCTTTGATAAAAGTTTTCTTGAAAGATTAAAGTAAGGCAAAAGTTACTAATAATCCCCACTTGCTGAAACAATTCTGATTTCCCTTACCTTGACAATTATCATACAACCTGCTATGCACAAACTAGTTATCAAAGTGGGCTAATGAGACTCCAGAATCAACCATCATGAAGACAGCTGTAAACTTCATTTTCTATCATGCTTAGCACCAACTGGTCTTTCAACTCTTAGTAAATATTGTATTTTAAAAAAATGAAGCTGTATGTATTTAATCATACACAGAGTCAGAATGTAGGCTGCTAGGCAAGAGGACACTGTTTCTAGCAGTCTTTATATTATCCCTTTTGTGGCTTGACGGATCAGCCAATAATCAGATAACCAATAACCTTCATAATCATTTCTCTCCATCACCCAGAGATAATGGATTATGAAGTTAGCCCTATATGTATTCTCCTTGAGACAAGAGAACCATAGCAACATGATTAAGGCTGGCACACAATTCAGTGTTTTACTTTTCTTGGCAAAAACTTGCAAGTTCCAATTATAGCTTTTTTTTTTTTTTTTTTTTTTTTTATTTAGCAGAGATGTCTAGAAAGGTCTGATTTCAATGTTCCTCAAGCATATGGTTTACTGTGCAGCTGAACATAGGAGGAGTTACTTGGGTACATGATTAAATGCTATGTTGAATTACAACCTATGGTCCTTAAATAGAACCAGGGTGACAGGGCTACATGTGAGGAACTATGCAGCACAGAGGTGAAAAATATTCATACCTACAATACATAAGCCTGCCTGCAGAACAGCCTCCCTGGGAATGCTGGATTAGTTTCTGGAAACAACTAGCTACCTCTCCTTGTTCCAAGATAACCACTTAAGAATTATAGGCTGCTGAATCTATTCGAGTACATCAAGACCCAACTGCCATTCACCACTGGGCTCACCTCTTTGCACAGCCTTCTCCTCCAGTGGACTAAAGATCTGATCCTTAAGAGTTCACCTTTAACTGTTTATATAATACTCACCGGTGTGATGTGGCACTACAGAATATATTTGATGCTGCTACAGAAACTGTACTACAGTTCCGTACTACAGAATTAAGTACTGCTTTACATTGATTTATTTGCTAAAAAATAAAGCATTAGAAGCTCCTCACTAAAAAAAAAAATTAATACAGAATCATCTTGTGGTGAAAGAAAATTTCTGTACCAAGCCATAAAATGAATAATCTGGTGAAATATGTTATAGATCGAAGTTTATCAAATGCAAACCATTAGGAAGGAGCCTACATGAAATGAAACATACAATCTGCAATCCACACAAAGTTCTGTGCTTTAAATTATACGCACAGCATGATCACAGTGTTTGAACTTAAAAGCAGTTTATAGTCCATAGCTCACTCACCTTTCCTCTCTGCACCAAACTTTTTGTGCATTAATGTAGACTACAGAGTTTATAGGCCCTCCTGTCCACTACAGGGTTTAAAACAGATTTTTCTGCTAGAAAAGCTCAAGTGAAAGCAATTCAAGATCAATTGTTCTCTTTGAAAGGAAGGTTACAGCTGTCATTCTGATACCAACTTGTGTTGCAGTATCTCTCTTCCATAATGCAGGATATGGTTTCCATAGAAATGTCTTTTTACATCAGCATCTACAAGCCCTCCAGTTTTTTCCCTTTTGGACATTTCACGCAATCCATTAAAATCTTTTCAGAGCATGGAAATAACTAGGCTCAACTACTATTTAATTACTTGGTGAGAAGAAAAAGGAAAGGACAATTAACAAACAAAAGCTTTATTTAAAACAGCACACAAGATGGGGAACACGTGCCCTGCAAAAAAAATTTTATCTTACCTGAAGAAATCTCTCTGGTGTTACAAATTATGAACAGTCAGTTATAATTTTTTAAGACTGCACAGTGATTTTGCTCTTTTTTGAGACTGGAGTTATGGTATAATTCTGAGCTGTTTGCTGGCCTTGTCTCCAACTAAGCCCCCAGGGTCTGCTCTTTCTCTGAATCCTTTGCATTGTTGAGTATCGTCGGCACCTTGTTCTAGGTCCTCTCGTTCAGGACCCCGCGGGTTTAGAATCCTTGCTGCTACTGCTGTTCATCTTTATTTTCTGTGGCATCTCCTGCTACTTTTCCAACATCAGGAACGTATTCAGTGCCCTGAAATTAGAACCGAGACACAAGGAACATCAAATTATACACAAACAACACAATCAGTGTCTTGACCCTACTATAAAATGCCTTTGTCAACCAAGGCAACTATAAACATGCAAGACAAGAAACTTAGCCGCATTGTTTGTATAGAACAAGTTTTATTCCTGCT